CTTATAATACTCCATCACCTTTAAAATTCTCCTCTTATTTTGCTTTTGTATGAACCATAAAAAATACTGAGAAAATTGCCTATTAAGACACTATGAAATCATCCAATATTACTGGTTATTAGTAGTTGTCTGTTGGAAGGACTGTTTGACAACTAATAAGTTATTTTCAAAGATAGTCCAAGTGCTGTTTTAGAATTCTATTGTTAATACTTAAAGAAAAATTTGATCCTTATAGCTTTGTTCATGTATTGTTAAGGCAAAATATTATGGTTTCATAATTAAGAGACGACCAAATCAGATGACTACACTTCTCATATTTCCCACTGGAAATCATTTATATTGCAAAACAAGCCACAGAATTATAGAAATGTTGTCTTCCTTTGTGTTTCCAATTTGAATGAATTTATCCCATTAATACCAAATGATTATACATGTCTGTGTGTGTATGCATGTGTGTGTAAGAGACGGAAAAGGAAGGAGATGAAGACAGTATTGAGATGGACAGTGTAGAGAAAAAAATAATGAGGAAGAGAATCCTAGCTACTAGCTTGGGATTTCTCTATCATTTGGCCTGATTTCTGGGAGAAGCATCTCCAGAATATTTTCCCTGCCCTAGTTATTTTCAAATCCTAGGGAGTTAAATTTTACACATGAGCTGTAAGCATCTTTGTTATGGAAGAATATGCATCACTTTACTTTATAAGTAATTAGAATAGCTGCTGTCTCCCTATGGAAGTTCACTTTTTAATACAAGTAGCTTTTAAAGAGAAATGGGGACTGGGACAAAAGTTTAATTTTAAAGTTAATTAAATTAATGCAATTCATAGTATATGCTGCTCATTTATTCCCTAAGAATTTATATAACAATGAGAATAAAATGGGATTGCTATATTTTACCACTCTTTATAGTACATGAACAAGAAAATAAAAACCAATGTATCTGCTGAGGAAAACATCTCTTAGAAGGGAATAAAAGTTTAACTGGCATTATGGGTATTTTATTTGCACTCAATCAAGAGGGAACCTGTGTGTCCATACACACCATATTTTCTAAAATATTGTATTGAAAAGCACCAGATTGTCTTACAGCCACAAGCTGTAATTCTTATCATTTTTAGCATCTCTTTAAAACGTCAAAGTGATGAACTGATAAACGTCAAAGTCTAAAATATGTCATGGAAACTAGAGAGAGTAACGGTGTGCTTAGTTAAAAGTTATTATTCAGGGGTCATTGAGCTGAACACGATTATTCCTGAAGTGCTCTGAAAGGCATTGTGGCCGCAATTAGAGGCTGCAGTAAGGAATTATGAAGGCATTGTGGAGAACAAGACTTGGTTGTCATATTCAAAATTTCAATTTTTTATAGAATTCTAATCTTCAAGGTTGTATCTTTCCACTGCCCATTATTCAGACAGGTTCAGCTAAAGAAAGTGGTATTGTGAAAATTATTTAAGAAACTGCACCAGAAAGTCCTTTAATTTTGCTTGAGCAGATTAGAAAATTTGGGGTATAGTTTTGAGATATTGAAATTTGTCACTTAAAAAAATTGTGCAGTTTTTGCCACTAAATTCTTCTCTGAAATGCATATGAAGCCAGCCACTGATGACACAAGTTAATTTTACAGTCTCTCAGAATGGATTGTGCTGAAAGTTTCAATATCTCATAGCTTGTAATTCAGTCCAGAAGCCAAACTTAGGCAATAAAATTGTCTAATTCAAGAACTGAATATCCAAATTAATAAGAAAATGTAGTTATCATAACTGTGCTTAATAGGTGAGTATAATTCAAAAGACAAGCTTGCAATTATAATGTTGCAAAAAGTATTCTCTGAGTCACTAAGACAATTCCTGACTAATCCCCTCAGTGAACTAAGGTAATTATTAGTTTATAGGTTATCTATCCATTGATTATATTTGCCTTGAATAGACTGTTAAAATCAATGCCTTGCAGGTAGTAACCATGCTTATTCTCTTAATGTGATTTAATTAAGTCCATTATTTTATATTTTATCGTCTTTGCCTTGCCAGCATCAATGAATACTGATGGACTATATATAAATTTATGCTGTACGCTTGGAATGGCTTGCTTCTCTTCATTAGTTCAGCATCAACTAGATGAGAAATACAGATGGTATATGCTGATAAATTTTGAGAATTTTTGCTATTATCTATGTTGCAATGTATGTGAAATTTATTTTGGAGTAGGAGACATGACCTCAAAGATTCTTAATGAGTGATCGGTCTAAGGACTATGGCCTATTTTCATTCTCAGAGTTTCATTCTTAGAGTACTCTAAGTTATTGTTAGGGGACACCTGTGAATTTCAGTGTTGCCAATTTCTTACTTTTAGTATTGAGAGTATTTTCTACTTTTGATATTGGCAAGTCCCATATTCCTTCAAGTCCATTTCATAGAATGTCTACTTTACAGATGAGATGAAAATTTAGCAACGAATATACTATTCAGTGCTCTGATATGACTAGCAGGTTGAGGTATATCGTGTTAAGAATTGAAAAGTATGTTTTAAAAAATAGGCTGAAAGACATTCAGAAAAGGGAATTAATGGTATAGAAGATACACCTATTTTTCTCACAACCACTTAAGTTGCGCAGAACGGTAAAGTAGTTAACAACCTACTCTCTTCTGTTAAACATGTTGGCTAAGTTTTTCATTTTTTTAAAAGTAAAATTTACATTATCTTCTATAAGATCCTGGGAATTCATAAACCTAATGTATGCATTCATATTTCAGGGATACGTAGATTTTAAAGCATTTATAATTCAAAATTAAGGTAAAGTTTATTAGCATATTTCCATAGAATGCAAATTGTTTCTAGAATAAGACTAGGTAGTCATGATAATCCCTAAACACAGCAACTGGGGGTTGGATGCGCTCTCCAGGTGACTAACTGTCATGGGGAAGCATCTGGAAGGTGGGACAAGTTTTAAAGACCCTTGGCTTTCTTGCTTCTACCATTTCTTTCTGTATTTTATTTTAAGTAGCAAAGAAAGCTCTAGGTCCCTGCTGTAGTTAAACTCCAGTGCTAATGGTTGGGAAAAAAACAGAAGGATGGTATGTATATGCTAAGGAACAAAGTTTCCTAAAAATTCATATATAATGGAACCATATATTTCAATGGTTGAGATACGTAATTACAGAAAAAGTGAAATAAACTACATACACAAAAATACAAACTTTCTAATGTGGCTATTTCAAAATACGTCAGCATATCCATTTAGGAATCCAAGTTATGTGTGGATAGACAATGTATATGCATCCATTTTTATTTTCTCACCAGTTATAGTTTTTTGGTTGATTCAATTTTAAATATTAGGGTTTGATAGCGTATTGAGTTAAATACTACCTTGGCATCTTAATTACAATGTAATTTTCCAGTTTTATAGGGTCTATAAGAGTTCATTAGAGGGGACATATTCCTTCGAACATTTTGGATTCAGCCATATTTGCCTTGTCACTGTTGCCTCTATGAGTGAAGGCTGTCAGAGTATTTTCTTAGTGTAGTAAGACAATGATAAGTATATATACCCAAGCCAAGTGTAATACTTTTGAGATAGATTTCTACCACACCAACACTCCTGTTGACAAGTTGTCTCATGGCTAGTATTTTTACATTCCAAGTTTCAAGTTTAAAAAAAGAGACATTTTTAATATTCTCAAATGTGAAAACAAGTGATGTCTGTGAATTTCTTTTGGGACATAAGTTCATTACATTTATGTTTGCTTCTGGCAGAATTCACTTAATTTAAGCAATGATGGAGAACTTTTGAAACAAGATGTATGAAGTTTAGAAAATTGTATTCAATATTTCAGAGACATATTGAGACTATGTAGTTTATCATTACTTCAAATTGCCCAGTCTATCTTCAGAGAACACAAACAGCATATCTTGCTCTAATCTATCTTTAGCACAAGAACATATTTCCTTGATTTTGGTTCATACACACCAAATGAAGAAACATATGTTTAACTTTTGGGTACACAGTCCTCAAAATAAGTAAAGTAGATAATAACTTCTTTTGGTTGTGGAATTTGCACTTAGTGCCAAACATGATTTTTTTTTTTCTAAAAGTGTTTTAAATTACTCATAAAGAAGGGGAATTTGTTTTTTTACTAACAAAAATTGCTGAACATACATTACTTTTTGAAAGGATATTTTTAAAAAATACAATTAGTTAGACCAAAGTTCAATAACACTGAGAAATTTTTAGCTTTCAATGGCAGCTCTTGCTTTTAGTTTGAGAGTAGTTAAAGGTTAGAAAATAGTACTTTCTGGTCCAGGAACTGGCTTATTTTTCCATCTTAAATCTGAGTTAATTGTTCTGTTAATGTTTAAAACTTTCTCTGTCAATAATTAGGTACACTGAGTTTCCATTTAGCAAATCTGACCAATAATTAAATATGTCTAAAAAGCATCCTAAGGTTTTTTAAAAATACAACTTTAATGATAAAAATAATGCAAAAAGTAGCAAAACTGAAAAAAAATCAGTCTGGATCAATGTAATTATTAAGACCTCTATCTTATATTTGAATTAATTACACTGCATGAAATGAGTTAATGTCCCATTGTAGTTGAAATAATTCCATGGGGTTGCTGATAGAGTCTAAGTAAAAATTTATATTTAAAATTATTCACATCTAGTGAATGGCTTATATATTGAAGTCATTAATTAAGAAATATAAAAACAATCAACTTTCACGTTACAGAAATGATATTTTAATATAATTTAGAGTTAAAATCTTCCCTCCTTACATTTGAAGCTAGGAGTTTGAATTCACATAATGTCGATGGGAAAACTGTGCTTATTAAAAAATCTTTCATAAATCCATTTTGTTTTCATTAAATTCATTTTTATCAAAATGTAAATACTATAATCCCAAATTTTAAATTTGTATTCTAAGCTAAAATATAAAAGTCTTACAGAACTTCATTTAATTATATCAAAACATTAAACACAATTCGATACAGACAATTAAGCAGCTATTAAATATCTAACAAAACAAGGGTGCCGGCTTGAATTTTTCAGTGTTTGGAAATCATTAAAAATACATAGCTATAACACTTATTTTAAAAACAATAGCGTTGTTTTCAATATTTCCAACTTCATTCATAGAGATAGAAAGTTCAGAAAAGTAGATTTTGCATTTAATATGATCTCTTAAGCCATTTGTTTTAAGTTTCCAAAGAGGGAAATTTAGTGTTCTAAAGAATTAAGTTTAGTATCTAAACAATAGATGTCTTTATTTTAATCTTCTAATTTGAAATTACTTTTGTTATTATATAAGTTGGTCTGATAGCATTTGTATGTACAATCCTCTTTACTGTTGAGTGAGTTTTGCACTGAATTAACTGATTATTTTTTTATTTTGTAACTACAGTATAAGAAAATATTTTAAAGCCCAAAACTACTAACTTTTTTATCCTCGACATTTCCCCCTTTTCCTTTTATAAAGCTCATTTTTCAAATTTTACTTTTGTAAGATTTAATATCATTGAATTAAAAATCAAGGAATTCCAAAGGCGTTTTCATGTGTCCTATTATGTGATATATAACATACAAACACATTGGCAGTAATACTTCCACTTATATGATTTACTGTGAAAGGACAGATAATCTTTAATATGAAATAGAATCCTCATAATATATATCTTTTTTTATCCAATAAAAGAGTCTTAATCTGCTTCATGACTTTGCATAGCAAATTCTAATAATACCTTTCCATATGCCATTTTAATGCAATGGTCATCATTTGTACACCACCCACACATACATATACACACATACACACACACCTATGGCAAAGAAACCTTCTTTTGAATTGATGATTTGTACTTGTATGTGTCTAGAGACTTAATCTTGTTGCTGATGAATATCCTCATGCCTGAGAATTTTATAAATAACCCAGTAAAAAATATTAAAAATCAAAAAGGCTAATGGGAAGCAGGCTCGGGAGATGGTGTCGATCTTCTTGGCCCGGTCGATAAAGACTTTTCTCATTTCATCAGGGCTTTTTGGCATTACCTGCACAGGATGGTTTGGGCCCTTTGGGGTCATACCATCTTTTGCTTGCAGACATGGTCCCATTCCATAGGCTGTAAAGCTGAATCGACTTTCCCTTACCTCATCATCCTGTCATAAGAAAAACATAAGAAAACACTTTAGTCATAGAATAAAGCATATGTAACAGGAATTTCAGAATCATGACTTCAGTTTCATTTTTATAAATGTTAAGATCATTATAATGAAAAGATAAGTGAAGCATGTAAAGATGAGTTGCTTTCTTTCCCATTCAAGTTTTATTGATATAGCCTGCATCTAATAGATGTGTCCATTAAGAAATATGAAACCCGCAAATGATATATTTTAATGAAAAACTAAACATCCTGGTATTGTCTACATACTGCTAGAATATCTAAATGAATTGAGCAAGAAAAAAATTATCGGGATATTATGTTATATATGTTCATGTCCTAGATTTTTTTACATTATGTATCTAAATGGGCAAGTATATGATGTCAAAGGGGAAAATACCAGGATTGTTGACTGAACTTTTCTTTTGTATGGAGGCAAACTTTTCAATGCTTATTTCCTAAATTTTACATTACTCCATTGGAAAAAACAGTCTAGCTCGCCAACACTGCTTAGTTTTTGTTATGCTCACTTAATGCTACTTCTATATTTTACACTAATCCGTCAGAAGACTGTAAGATAGTCACATATTCTAGTTTATATACAATTGCTTTCTAGGTACATTGATTTAGTTTAAATTATGAATGTAATTTGACAGAGGTGTATTTTAACGTTAAAGAAAATTATAACATATTATAAGAAGTATTGTTACTTTTCTCTTAAATGTTGCAAATTGAAGAGAATTCTCCAAGTATGTACATGAAAAGAAAACCAATATTTAAAGGAAAAATTATTTAATAAAAGTATGATAAATGTATTCACGATAGGAAAATTTGGTAGATGTCTGTAATAATTTGTAATGAAATTCATGCTTGAATAATTTAATTTGATGATTTTATTTAGAATGTAACAGTATATGGCTGCCAGTTAATTGGATTTTTTTTGCTACTAAAGTTGAAAGTTTAAAAGATGACATTTTATAAAGTTATTATAGCTCTCCTTTTATGAAAGTAATTTATAATGATAACATAAGAGATAAAAGTAATTAATCGACTCAAACTCTTAAAAAATTATTTTTGGTCTGTGAAAGTTGAGGCTCAATGAACAGTATATTACAAAATATGAAGGTTAAAAATAGAAATTAAAATGGATTCTAAAGATGAGAACATGATCAAAGTTGATGGAATGATGTATAAAATAGTTTTGGGGTAATTATGAAGTAAGGCAATTCCACCTGAAAAACAAAAACATAATTATTGGAAAATATCTCAACAGTAAGATGTATAAGCAATTGAATTTTGAGCAAACAAGTCTGAAATAAAAGCTGATGATCCAAATTACATGTAACTACTGTTATAATCTTGCAAAAATTGGAAATTGATTTTTCAGTAGTCTTGAATAAAGATGTTCATTTATGCTGCAACTTTTTTAGCTTCCATGGGCATTTCAAGGTTAAATTATTGTTTGCATTGAATTTTCTATATTTTGAAAAAAGTGGATATACTGAGAATTAAACTTTTCTTATGTAAGTGCTGAAACAACATCCTTATAATTTAGTAAATCAGGCTTGTATTTGCATTCCAGAAGGAAAACATAGGTCACTTGGATAATTTGGACAATTTTTGTGTACAAACCAGCTGAATGCTGAAATATAAAAATAACCTTTTAAACTACATTAACCCATGTGTACAAAAACATCCATCTCAAAGTAGGACAAAGGATAACTTCTCAACAAGCATTTACAGTGAGGTGTTAGCCTATTGGTTGAACCACGTGAGAGACTGATTACAAAAATGCTAAGACTTTAGGATTCTAGCTGCTGTGTTTAGTAAAGTAGAACCCACTGACTACCTTTCTTCATGGTTTTATTGAGAAATAATGAACATACATCACTTTATAAAGTCAAGGTGTACAACATGATGGTTTGACACATACATTGTGAAATGATTGCTGCAATAGGTTTAGCTAACATCCATCACCTCATATAGATACAATAAAAAGAAAAGAAAAAGAAATTTCTCCTGTGATGAGAACTCTTCAGATCTACCCTCTTAACAGCCTTCCTATCTATCATACAGCCGTGTTAGCTATAGTCATCACGTTGTGCATTACATTCCTAGTACCTATTTATCTTATAACGGGAAATTCATACCTTTTAACCATCTTCCTCCACAGACTGCATTTATAACCATTTGTTCTGGAGAAATTATTATTTTCAAATCTTTGGAGACCCCCCACCACTCATCTCAAAATAGAGACAATCCTTTTAAGATTTAACATATTTGGTGAACAATTGTATTTTTCTCAACTGTATCTTTCCACATAACTGATTGTGAGTAAAGGGTTAACATCAGGCCTAGGCTGTTTCAGGACTGCTGAGAATGACTTCTGATCCTTCCAGCATCATTTCCTTGAAAACAATAGAGTTAAGTTAAACGAGGAATGTGAAGTTTGCTTCATTTACTGTGAAGGACAGTGTCTGCAGGGCTGTGCAGTGGCCCGAAGGCCTATGGCCTACGTGACCGGACGGTATACAAGTTTGTGGGAAATGAAGGCTGTGGCTTCTCTGTGTTGAGGTGATGACATATGCCTTGATTTTTTTTGTGGCAGCTGCATCGACACACCCGTGTGGGTGAGGGGTAAAAGAAGCTGTGCTCTTAACTGCCGGGTCTCCCAATGAGAAGAAGATGCTATGTACGATGTGTTGCCTGCCTCACATGCTCCTTGAGGACTGAGAAAAGGCTATTTGAAGTTAAGGCCTATAGTGTCTGGAGGGTCTCATTGACAATTTGCACCCAAAATCTCAGTGGTGGCAACAAGCTGACCTGGCTTTCAGATCATTTCAGACTCAATACAGCCAAAAGTTCTGGGAGGGAGTTCTGATGAGAACATGATACTGTTCTGCCCTGAATGCTCTGTGGAAAGTAACTGGGGATAAATCTTACTATTGAAGTGTGGATGACACAGACTTACCCCTTGTTGAATTGGCAGATGGGTGATCAGTGAGATAAAACTGAGGAGAACCAGGGTGATAAAACTGAGGGGAAAGTTGTCATGATTCAATTAATTCCTTGTCTCCTATTAATTGATTATCCATGAGAACTGAAACCACTTGGAGAAAAGAGAAATGAGAGCAGTAAAGCAAGCAGCTTCATGGCCTGTGCTCAAGATGAAAACAAAAGTCCAGTTGGACTTGGAAGTACATTGCACTTAATCTTGGTGTCACTTCTCCACAACCCCAGACACAAGACACTGGAAACTAGTGACTATTGTGCAGCCCTGTCCAAAAGAAATACACTGTGAGCCACAAATGAAAGCCATGTGTATTATTTTGAATTTAAATTTTACATTAGCTACATTTTAACAAGTTAAAAGAAACAGGCAAAATTAATTTTAGTAATACATATACTTTAACTCAATATGTCCTAGATTTACTGAAAGTAAAAATTAAGGAGATATTTTACAGTCTTTATTTCGCACTAAGTCCTTGAAATCAATGTCTATTTTAACACATCTCTCAATTCAGACTTTATATGTCTAGTGTTCAATAGCCACCTGTGGCTTGTAGCTACCATATTGGACAAAGCAATTGTAATACAAAGGAACCGAGTCTCTTTGCTGAGAAGTACCAACAGATATCTTGGCAATCCATGCTTTCCAGGGTCTTTAAGTTAATTGACTTAGGAGCTGATAATTTTTGTGCATGCTGCAGCATGAAAAGCAATATTTGGTGTGAATGATAACTCCTAACTTGCTGCAGTGTTGCCATTCAGGAAATACTGGTAGTTGTGTAATCAATGACCCTTTGGAGTGGGTGAGGCCTGGGGTGGTACGAATCTGTGCTGAGAAGGGACGCTGCCCTGTTCTCTTACTGCTGTGAAATGGAACAGCTCTTTAGAAGAAGCAGCTATGTGAAGGGAAGCAGCAAACCTGGGCTGCCATATGATAATTAAAAAGGAACCCAACCAAACCATCCTCTGACCTAAACTCTGGCAGACACTGTGATTAGGGGAGTCCTTCAGGTACGAGTTCTCCGTGTGGCCCTCCTTTGGGAAGGCAGGAGGGTATATATGATTCACAGGTACCTTTGCTCTTGTAGTTGCCATGCTGGGTTTCACTGATGGAAAAAGTATCTGGGCTATTCAGAAGAAAGATCATGGCCAGAGGTAAATCTATAAGCTCTCTTTAGGTGGCTTTTAAGACACAAAATGAAAATTGACAGGAATCCTAGGAAAAATTTCCTGGCACATTATCACCCGCTGGGAGGAAGGAAATCTGTTCCAGTTCCGGCAGCTGCTTCCCTTAAGGAACTCTGTTAAATTTGCTGCTTTCATCTCAGAAGTTAAATCCAATGATGCCAATGGGGAATGGAAACAAAAGACACTGATATGGGTTGCTGAATTTACTCCATCCGTTAAGGCAGCTGAAACAAAGAAGACTGACTTGAAGGCCAGAATCTCTTTGCCCAATTCTGAGTGGGATTCCAAGGCCACAACTGTGGTTAAAGTTGAATGGTTGGGGCTGGTAAACACAGCTTTTTTGGATTACTGAATGCCAGTGATACTGTTGGGGAACGAGAATGAAATATTAAGAGCAAAAGAGAAGCTAGTGGAGCAGAGAAGGAGTCATGGTGATGCTGTGGTAGTAGGTCTCAAGGTCACAGTAAAAACCTCAGGTAGAAAAATAAGGGACTAAGATATATCTAGTAGGTGGCATCACCTTTGGCTAAATGTATAATTGGAAAGGAAGTAACACATGAATGAAGAATATTGCAATTTCTGGCTTGAACCTAATCTTGGGCAGTTGTTCCTTAGTCCAGTTGTAGTTGAATGTACTCTAAAATGGGAGCCCTTAGAATTACCTAAACCTTCCTCTGTAGTAACTGTTAAACAGTGCAAGATTCCAGGAAGATAAAAGAAACTCTCATCTCTGATTAAGGAAACGGTGGAAGCAGGAGTGCTAATCCCTCATTCATTTTCTCTAGAATAGCTTGACCTGGC